TCGGTAGTTTTTCTTCTGGAAAGAACCTCTGTGACAAAAGAGTTACTGTATGTAGTCTAATTGACACGTTGCAGTATATTTGAGAGATGGGAGAATTAGGTTGTCAGCAGACTCGAGTGGAATATTTTTTGCATTTACTTCAAACTTTGAGAAATTGTAAAATTTAAAGTTATTTAAGTTTTTAAATTTTAAAACATCTCTTCAAAGAAATCTATAATAGCCTTTACAAACATGTTTCTTGAAGAYTGATTTAAGTGCTTATTTGTTTCTTGAAGTTGAAGGGAGGGGGTTTACTGCCATTATCTGTTTACATTGTGATCTCAGAATAATCTGATCTGTATTAGAAAATAACACCGAGAGAGCTTATTGCATCAGTTTTAAATATATGCTGTGGACAAATTATCCCTGTTTGAAGTTTATCCTTTTCTTTACACATTCATTATCTCATTTTCAATAGAAGAAAAATAGAGGACACTGTGGTTCTGAAGGGAAATAAATGGACTTTATTTCAATTTGCAACACATTCACCAGTTGGCCAGAGGAGGGAGCAAGGCAGCCTTTGTGGCTGGTGAGATCAATGTTTTGGCCTACATTGAAATGTAATAGCTGTTTTGGCAATCTGCTTTTGTGCAATTAAACCTTGATTAATCCAGTAAGAAGAACAATAGGTTAYATTTTACTCTGCTTGAAATGAAGACAACCCTTATGAATCAGTAGGGATTCACAAGTATTGTAGGTACTAAAAGTGGGGCACACCCAAGCTCACCGCTGAATTTTTCATAGTGCACTGTGGATTCCTAACCCTCCCTGTGTTGAAGTAAATGAATTTGCATGCAGTAGGAGCTCTGTGTATTGTAGGTTGTAAACAGTACTCCAACAGCATTAGTGAGATTTAAAGTCAGGCACAAGCACAAAATGGAAAAAAACCCACAGTTTTTTCTTCAGTTATGTCTTAGCTTCCAGGCAGCATAAAGATAATGAGAACCTTCCATGAGTATCTATATAGGCAAGGGAGTAATACTGTAGAGCACTGAGAGAAAGCTTTTAAAATTGCTAATCTACTCCMGTTTTTAATGGGTGAAAAGGAAAGCTGGTGTATTAAAAATTACCATGCAATCAACTTTGTGTTATGTCAGAATTCATTATTGCCTGTTAACACTGCTGCTATTTGATCATAATTAATAATAGGAAGGACAAAATTTCATTACACAAAAATGGAGGAAATATTATTACTATGGAAGGAAGGAGCTGTCTGGGGGGTAGAATAAAAGAAAAACCAGAACTGTGTAAGGGGAAGTGCACCAATCTTCCAAAGTAATTAAATGTTATTTACTATTCTAGTATTTCCTTGGCTGTCATTCCATATATCTTTAAAGATGCAGAAAACTGAACTGATCACATGTTTTTGTAACCTGCAGATATTAATCTCTGCCTACAGAAACTGGGAATATGTGAAAGCAGTTCTTTTRTTCTTAATTACTTTGGGTGCCAAGCAGTTGCCTTGCTGCCTACAGCCTGTGTTTTCTGCTCAAATAAAGAAAAAGTAACAGAGACCTTTCTTCCAAATCCAGCAGGTGTAAGGTTGAAGGAAGTTGGCTACATCTAGAGGACAGTCCCCTGTTTTCTTCTGAAGACATTATATCTAAGTGACAACCACATCAGAGTGCTGCAGAACTGACAAACTTGCTGGGAAATGGCRTGTGCAGAGCTGGGCTCAAAAGCCACTTGTTGCCGACACAAGTTTGGGACAAGAGTGGTCTGAGCATCGTGTTCCCAAAGCAGGCTGTTGGATGCTCTCTCTTGATTTAGTGGTCCAGAAGCTGTGGCTCCTGTACGGGTTGTTCTGCAGCCTGAGAGCCATCATTTGCCTCCTTTGTTCATTTTATCCAAGCCTTTGTCATCCCCAGAGCTTCTTCTCCTCCACATTTCCTCCTCTCACCTCTCCCCAAACCACCAAGCCTGTGGCCAGCACGGGGGCAGTGACAGCTGCCCTYGGAGGCTGCTGCCACTTGGCCCCTTACAAACCATGTGGCCCTGGTAACAYCTCTGGTGGAACCCCCACACCTGCAGCAGATCTGGTGAAATGCTGCWGTGGAACAGCATGAAAACAAGATGTGGTGCTGGCAATTGCTCMATCCTATGAACTACGTCGGTTTAGGTAAAACTGCACCTTTTTTGCAGAAAGGCACCACTCCAAAAGAAACATTTAGGCTTTTCTTTCTTATGGTGACAGCTTCACYTTAAATGTTAAAGGGCAAGAGTGTRTTTTTRGACCCACCTTCCTCCCTTRYAGGTGTGCTCAAAGGCTGTTTGRACTGGTCATCTGATGTAATTGTCTCTCTTTGGTTTGACATCAGGGAAGAGGGCAGAGAAAAATGGGCACATCTGTCACTGATCAAGCAAACAGATCTCTTTCAGAACAACTCCACTGCTTTCAGCACAGGCCCATGATATACAGTGAGAAACCTGTCCTATTCTTTTAGTATTCAGTCTCATGGATCTTCAAATTTAATTGCAAAGTGTTTATTTGCATCCTTGCTGAAATACTGCTTCCTTTCTAATCCAATAACTAATGCAACTTCTTAAGAATTTAGCCATGATGTTTTCCACGTCTATGAAGCACTAGAGCAAATGGAGAAGTGGCARCTGTTTGCACCAGTAAAGCTAATGAAATGCAGAGCACATTTAAATATCCAGGTATTTCACCAAGCTCCACAGMACACAGCAGGCCAACTTCAGCCAACTGCAGCTTCTAGCAAGTAGTTGAAACATCCAAGGAAGTCTGTTTCAAACATGGCTGTATTTTTACACCAAGAACAGGCTGATTGTAATCAGAGCACAGCACTGAGTGAGTGTAGATTGTTGTAGCAGCAAGCCTTGTATGCATTTAAAATGTGGTGAGTCTGTAAAAGTTGGCAATAAGAAGTATTTAGAGTCAATGTGAGGGCACTGGTAGTACAAAAAAAAACCAGTGAAAGAAGTGATGAAGCAGACCTTTTTCTAACCTTTCACCCAGTTTAATTTATACAATCTGCCATGGTCTTAGCTTTAAGCCTGGATTAAAGCCCCAGATTCAGAGCTGGGATAAACTGAATTCCACAGGAGTTGTGCCCATTCACACAAAGACAGTTTGTTCCTGTAGAATAACGATGTGCCTTTCTGCAAATAATTTCATTATTTTGATGCCAAGTTAGAGTCTAGAGATTCTTGCTTAATATTCTTGCTTCGCTAGGTGTAAAACTCCAAGAGCTCCTCTGCTCTGGRCAGTTTAATTCATCATTGAAAGATTCCAAAACGAAAGGCCTGCCGTCAGCACTTTGCCTGGATCCTTTCCCAGCTGTAGAGTGCTCCCTAGCAGATGGCTCCATCACCCATGTCCGTGACAGCCACTCCCTTCTTACTCCCAGCCATGATGCTCAGAGTTCTGGCCATCCTGGGATGTCACCGAGACGCGGATGTGAGTGGGAGCCACAGAGCCACGGCTCTGCCTGCGTGACAGAGACCAATCTGATTTTTGTTTATGCCTCAACCTGTGTTATGTGCTGGGAGCTCTGTCCCTCAGGAGGTTTTGGCTGGCAGCCAGTCATGGCACAGACAGCTTCCCCTGCTGCTCTGCAAGCGCCCTGCCCCCCTTGCTGGTGGGGCGGATGCCCGGGAAAACAGCGCGCGGGAAAAACTCGCGGGAAATCACGCTATAGGAGGGCGAGGCATATAAAAGCAGAGAACTGCGACACAACGGGGACCATTTTCCTTTGGGGTTCTTGGAGGCAGTAGGGGCCCACCCGGAGGGTCACCTTGGCTGTCCTTCCCCTCTCGCTTTTCCTTTTGTTTCCTTTCGTTCCTGCGGTCCCGCTTCTTCCCTGTGTCCTGTCCATGTGCTCTGTTTCGCCGCTTCCCCGAGGCAGCTCGACCGTGCGACAGCCTCGTGTTTGCTGTTTTCCCGACGGAGCTGTCATCGCTGCCCACATTCGCTGCCGTGTGTCCGGCAGTGCCCGCAGCCCCAGCCTGCCCACAGCAGCCGCAGCGATCCCACAGTGTGCCCGTAGCCACAGCACCGTGTTCTCCGCCGACGGGAGGGACACGCAGCCGCTGCTGTTTGGAAATCGCGCCCAGCCTGTCCCGGGAGCCGCGCAGGCTCCTCGCGGTTCGCAGCACACACACACACACTCCTTCTGCCGAGCTGACATTCCCGGGTACCCGGGGTACAGCGGTAACAATCTGTCTGCTGTTCTGTCTCTCTCCGTTTCTCCTTTTCCCTCTTTGTTCCCTTTTCTATCCCCGCTTGGTAGGAAGTGGTAGGAACACTTACCCTTCTTTATCAATAAACAGTTCTCAGATATAATATTGCCGTGTTTGCGCTTTATTTTTTTTGTCCAAGAAATCTATTAAAAGAATCCTCCCCGACTCCCTCTTTTCAAGCAGGACGGCACACCGCGTCACCCCGAATGGATAAGGATCAAGGTATCATAAATAGCAGGCAATAGGGGCACCAGACACTGTGGCTCAATCTACTGGAATTATTTAGGTTTTTAAGGTCTCTAAAAAAAAAAAAACCCTTTTCTCCCTCAGCCAAGCCCATCACCTCCTATATTCTTCCCTCTTTGGCCTAAATATCTTAGGATCAGTTTGCATGTTTGCTCTGTACAAGCAGGGCAGCTGCATCCAGAACATTTTTGCCTATTCAGGGCTTTTCTTCTTTCCAGTTCAAAATTTTTCTCCTTCATTTAGCAAGTCATTTAAGGGAAGCATAGATGTRAGGGTGTGCTTGCCTGCTTATTGTATGTACACGACAGAGCGCTTATATAATTTTTGAACATTTACTTGCTCACTGATCCTATAGAAGATAACTGCACCTGACATTTTGTATTTCCATGCTAGTTGGGTTTCTGGAAAAACCTTTCAAGTTCATTAACATGAAAATGACAGGAGAAATTCCTGTGGTTCTTTTCCCCCTCAAGTCTCTGCAGTAAAAGAACATCATGTACTGCTTTGTTTTTCAGGTTGATGGTTTCCTGACACTTCTCTTTGGCCTGGCTAGCATTAATACCCTGACAGTGATCAGCGTGACACGCTATATCAAGGGATGCCATCCTGAGAGAGGTAAGGAATGAAGGCAAGCCCAGTTCTGCCTTCACTGAGCCTGGTACAAATCTGTATTTCTCTCAGTCACAGGCTATATTAAATATCAATTTAATGCCTTGAAAACCAGGACAAAACACAGTCATTTACATGACAAACATGTTTTCTTAGAGTCCTTCAGCGTTAATTCCAGTAAAAGCCAAATTATTACAAGTACACTCAGGTCAACATGGGTTAATTCATCCTTGTGCCAAAGATACCACAGGTCCTGCTGACTCTCTGTATTCCTCAAAAGATTACTTTACCTCCTCTGAAGTGATACATTGTTGTCTGGATCTCACTGAAACAAATTTCATCTTCTATGAGATGATGTTTGGGAAGTTTCTGGTCAAGGATCAGATCCCTCATTCAGAAGGCTGTCATCCATATATTTTCATTTTTCAGGGTGTTTTGCCAGGGTTTGTGCACAGCAGGCATCATGGATTCCTTTAGATGGCACTGGGAACATTCAGWCTGCAGCTCTTTCCTCCAGCTGCTGTAGCTCTGCCATCCCCTCGTGCCTGTCCAGCTTCCCTTGGGCATTTTCGCACCATGTGAGATGAAAAGTGCTCCTACCATCCCCAGAACTGACCACGACCCAGCTCTGCCTGTCTAGTCCCTGTCTCCCACCTGTCTCCCAGATCTGCAAAGCATCGTCACCACAGTTTTGTATCCACACTTGTTCCTGCTCTAGTGGCCTGTTCATCTGTAGCCTGAATATCCCAAACAACCCCATTTCATTACTCTCTCAGCCACCTGAAAAATTTTACTCACCACTCTGTTTTTTTTAAACTTGTTTTTTTTTTTTTATTGACTTTTGGTATAAGTGCCTCKGTGAAGATATATGATTGTCCCTCTGTACAAACCTTTCCACATTTCTGCCCTGTGAAGGCCTCACCAACAAGTCCATACAGACATGCCATCATCTACCAATTTCYCTTCATGCCTCTTTATATCACCACTCTCACCCCAGGCACACTGATTCACTGAATCAATAGAAACTTCTTCACCATTCATCCTGGGCCTCCYGCCTGCTCAAAATTTTGACTCCCACTGAAAGCCTTATGTAATTTCTCTTCTGTATACCCACACCTACTATAAATTATCTCCAGTCTTCTTTTCACTGATCTCTGGAYAGTGTATGATCAATTTTCATGCCTTTATTACAACTGGCTGGCACCATCTTTCAGGCAGGAGCCTATCAATGTCTGCAGTAAAGCTTGTGTAAATACATGGGATGCATCATAWGAGTTTTCCTCTTTAATAGCATGAGCAGTATTTGCTGTGAAAAGAACTTCTGCAGGGAGGTATTTATTTCCACAGGAAGTTCTTCTGCAGTTTGATGTAATGATAGACTTGTTGAAGTTAACTTTCAGCCCAAACTGCTGCTGGAGCTGGTAGAAGTTGGCTGTGATGYAATTCTGCATCTTCTATTCATTACATGCTAAGAAGTCATATTTAAAACCGACATTTCTCTTTTGTGAAGCTGTACCACCTATCCATCTGAGGGTGTGCATAACTTATGTTTGAATCTCAAGCAAGTACCCAATATAATTAACTTTACAGAAATGTTRAGGAATAGAAATAGAAAAAGAATGCATAAATATTTCCCACATAAATGAAGCAACAGCAGGACAGATTGAATCATTTCTATCGAATGACCAATATAGTCTGGGCTGTTTTCTCCTTTTCATCAGGGAAAAACCTTGAAGTGAGTAAGAAAATCCCCTGAATTTAGATTTGTCTGTTTATTTCTATGTAAAATATAACTGTTAGCTGCATGTTACGAAATTTCAAAGCATAAGTTTAACACAGAATTTTCTTATTCCACAGTTCTCAACAGTCATTGTCTCCTGCTTAAAAAACATTAATTTACCCTCTACAATGATAACACAAGCCTGACAGATACTTTCCAAATGAAGCTTTTTTATGAATATGCATTTATTTCTCTCTATATTTAATACCTGGGTTTTTTACTTATTAGCTGCTGGTATAGTAGTGCATGTAACTTTCAGAGATATGTTCGCCTTTCCAAGTACTGTTTTCTGACCCAAGCATGCCATTGCAGGTCACTGCATCAGCAACAGCAGCATGTCGGTGGCTCTGGTCCTCATTTGGGTGGCAGCTTTCTTCTGGTCTGCAGCTCCCTTGYTTGGCTGGGGCAGCTATACAGGTAACAGGTATCTTCCAATTGTGCTTTCTGGCACCTCTCCCCTTAACAAAGATGCTTACCTCTTTTTCTTGTTGTTTGTGATAAACCAGACCAATTATCAGCAGAACTGAGAAAATCATTCACCATATGTGACGTAGACACAGGGTGTTGCCTGCTTTGGTATCACCTATAAAGAGATTTTTTTTAAGATATCACAGGAAAGACTTGGACCAAGTGCATATTGCCTATAAAAAAAAAGGGAGGCCAGAAATATTTGGCATGGTTAAGCTGTGAGATAAAGAAAACTATTAAAAGACATTCTTCAAAAACTGTCAAGATTAGGAAACTRGAAAATAACACAAGTTCCAGCACGTTAAACTTGAAACTATAATAAGACAAGCCAGAAAGATTTGGTAGAACAATTTGTTGAAAATATGAAAGCATACATAGCAAAAGAACTAAAAAATGTTGGAAAGTTTGTCAGTCCAAGAAAGAATTAGRATGCAAGATGAGGCCRTATCAACAAGGGGGAGGAAAAAAAWGAAAAGTTTTGTATAGTGAACACTGCAGTAATTCAATGGCTAAGGGATATTCCTGGACCAGGAAATTTCTTCATGGGAGAAAGTTGGAGAAATTGTCTCAATATAAGCCTCTAAGAAATCAACAAAACAAATATCTAGGAACAAACAGTGGTGATACAGAAGTCCCAAAACCAGAAATCATGTGACTGACAATGTCCAGCAGTTACCTGTCTGGGTCCTCGAGGCCTCTGCATCCTTTGAGAAGTCATGAAATCTATGGAGACTTACTGAAGCCACTGTGGGCATATTTTCTCTTACTAAATATGTAAGCATTGAGGTATGTATGGACTCCTGAAGTAAGGGTGTGAGAAAAGCAGCCATTCCTAAGGTTGGTTAAATGTTCTATCCCTCACAAACCAAAATAAACACAGGACATTAGGTTCAGTGGACCATTGCTGTGAAACAAATTCAAAATATTTATTAGACTGTTTGAATTTTATGTCATATTTTTGCACTGTGGATGTGTCCTAAACATCAGTGTTTTGGACTGGTAATTTTTTGTGTATCTTCTGGTGATCTGTGTTCTTTTTGTGTTAATCTTACCAGCTYTTCATTTATAGAGCGACTTCTGATGTGTATTTTTGGCCTCAAACTGGAGCCAGGCACTTTTTGAGCAACACTGCCTTGTCAGGATATTCAAGTGCCCTATGGATCCTGTTTGTGCTTTGAATTCAATTCCTTGACAGTGGTTTTCGAGACTACTTCTAGGAGTACTTTCCCCTCCTGAGACTCACAGTAATTTGGGGTTCCTGGGTTRTCTGTGTCCCCACACGCCTCCAGTGAGGGCACCCATGGAGATGTGGGAGCCCAGCAGTGCCAAGTCCAGCAGCAGAGCACAGCACATTGCAGATGGCTGCCTTGGACCTTTCACATCTACACAATATCTTCAGGGGCCTCCAGCATCCCACTGATTTTTGGGAAAGACACTTCTTTGTGCCACTGAGGAGGGGGAAAACATAGCTCTGAATTCTGACTTGTGGAAAATCTGCAGGGTGTTCTTTTCCTGTCATCTGGAGGCTGGTGTCATATTTCAGTCAAAGGTTTTCAAAAGCAGAAACCCAGAATTAAGCCAGATTTTATGGTTATATTTTAGAATCTTGAGGTCTACTGACAAAAAAGGCAAAGTAGAGAAAAATCTATTTCTATTACAGAACACATTCAGGCAGCAACACCTAGAGCTTTAGTGATAAAAATAYCAAGCCTCTTTTTGATGAGAATCATAAAAGAGATTTTAAGCTTTTGCTCATTTAATTCATCCTGGTTAAATCTCCTATCACCCTTGAGGAATTAAGGGATTTTTTTTTTCTTCAGAATTACCTCTGGATGTTAGGGAGAGATCTGCTGCTAAATCATGTAGTCTTCACCTGTACTGAATCTCCAGGACCTGTTAATACTTGACTCACATAATTTTGATTCATGCTTCATTTATTTGCAATTAAATTTGTTGCCAGAGCTGTCAGAAAAAAAAAAAAAAAAAAAAAAAAAAAAAAAAAAAAAAACAAAAAAAAAAAAAAAAAAAAAAAAAAAACCCCTCAACATTTTCCACTCAAAAAGAAAAATATTCAATTCACAATCTATGGAAAAACCTCTAATGTTATAAAATGTAAGTTTTCTATCGGACATCTTTACAAACGCATCAGAGGATCTAAAGAAGTCAATTGTTATTTATAAAAGTGTTTGAGCMAGAGGCTGCACATTATTCCCACTGTCTTTTCCTCAAGTACCTGATCAGCTAGTGCCTCACAAGCAGGTAGACCCTTCAATCTGCCTGGCTTCATTTTTAAAAGTGCTCCAGGGCTGTGGGTTTCCCATTTATCAAAAGGTCTCATGGCTAAGTATTTTCATGTTTTCTCTATTCATAATGTTTATTATTAGCTTTATCAATTTGGTCTCATGGCTCTCACTGCAGTAGAAGTTCCATTGTCTCAAGAAGCCTCAATATTTTTATTTCCTAATTAGTTATGTAAGTAATTGTGATTTCTYACATTTGGCATACTTCTCTGGAGTTCCTTGTTGCACCATTTCAGTGCTCATCTTGGGAAGTTATTGTGTAGAGTATTGCAACAAATAAGAGTAGGTATCACTCAAGGATATAAAACTTTTTTATATATATAAAGTGTCACAATTTCCTATCCTGAATCAATTGTTTATGAATTATGGATTTACACTGGAAATACAGACCCAATGGAATGATAATATGCATTAAGATTTGTCACAGTCTAACTGGTCTTGAAAAATTGTTTATGTAGGAAGTAATGTCCCGTCTCATTAAATTAGAAAGATCAATCCATTCTGTATCTTACCAGAAGAAAAATTTGGCATTTTAACTAATGAAGGATCTGCTCAAAAGCAGATAAATATTCTAAAAATGCTAACCAACATATTCTTGCTTTCCAGATCGCATGTATGGCACATGTGAGATTGACTGGGCAAAAGCCAACTTCTCTACAATCTACAAGTCCTACATMGTCTCCATTTTTATCTGCTGTTTTTTCCTGCCTGTCACAGTCATGGTCTTCTCCTATGTGTCAATTATCAACACTGTCAAACTAAGCCATGCATTAACAGGACTGGGTGATCCCACAGACAGACAGAGGAGAATAGAGCGGGACGTCACCAGGGTGAGTTTGGGAATCACGTTGGGTGGGATTTATCCCCATGAAATTTGTCTTTCCAAAAACTCGTCTCAACTAAAACAGAAGTGAACAAAACCAGTCAATTGCATTTTATTTCTTTATTGCCTCTAGTGACAGAGTCTGAACTCAGTGAAAAATATGAGGTCTGTTCAAAATTTCTGCTGCATCAATTGGTTAATATTGGTGCTACATCACATGTGAAAGATAATCTAAATATAATTGGTATAACCAACAGCACAAAACCCAAATATCTGAGCTGGCAAATGTTCTTTCCTGTCAGATATTACGTTACTTCTGAACATGCTCAGAAGTTAGAGTGGAGATTTCAGTTTACTCACTGTTCAGTCAAGTCTACCTGAAACTTTCTTTATCCATATAAACATATGGGAATATAGCTGTTCTCATTCCATTAGATGAGACATTTCTCAGCGTCACCACCATGCTAAAATTCAATATATAGCTCCTAGATCTGCATGGCTGCATCAAAGTAAACCATTTTCCTGCCCATATTCTCCTGTAAGCCATACCCTCAGGGCAATCTGGGCCTTTCCCTTCCAGTGTTTTGCTTCCCTGACACAGTCTTCCAGAACAGATTTAAGACTGTTCCTCTTCCATCTTTCAGGTTTCTATTGTCATTTGCACAGCCTTCATCATTGCATGGTCGCCATACGCCGTCATCTCTATTTGGTCTGCCTACGGTCACGCTGTGCCCAACCTCACCAGCATCCTTGCCAGTTTRTTTGCTAAGTCTGCTAGCTTTTACAACCCCATCATCTACTTYGGGATGAGCTCCAAATTTCGGAAGGACATTTTCATCTTGTTCCATTGTGCCAAGGAAGTCAAGGACCCTGTGAAGCTCAAACGTTTCAAAAACCTCAAACAAAAGCTGCCACAGCCTTCTCAGAAAGATGAGAARTATGCAGCAGAAATGCACCCTGCACCCAGCCCTGATTCCGGGGTGGGAAGTCCAACCAACACCCCACCTCCAGCAAACAGGGAAGTGTATTTTGGTATTCTCGATACACCATCCAATAACCCTAATATCGAATGTGATMGATTGTAAGTTTTGTGGCTGCTTTATGCACACACTTTGTGTTCAGGAAGATCCTCTACAGAGCAGTGCTTGARTAATTTACTAATTCCCATTCCATCTGTTTTTTGCTGAAGCACTGATGACTACACAACTAAAGCAAATCAGATGGTAAAGTGGTATTTTCCTTCTGTGTAGGTACAAAATGCTACAAAGAACATTACAATGTGGGCAGCACACCCAGTGCCAGAAACACTTGATTTACACATGCATGCAGGAAAAGAAAGACTGACTTCAGGAGACCAGGCATTAGCTAGCAAAAATAACTGATAGGTTCCTGTCCAAATTTGATCACTTCCAGACTGCATTTCCAAATACGTCTTTTGCTCTTTAACAGTCACAGCCACAGATGATTGTTTTAACTCTGTGGTGCTGAGGCTCTTCTCTTCAGCCGTGGCTKTAGGAGAAGATGGACCCTGCTGAGACTGCCATGGAGCTGGTGCAGCTCCAAAGGCTGTAAGATGGTGGAAAAAAGCCAAGTTCTCCCTGCAAGATACCCTGGTGTGCCCTCCATTGTGCTCCCAGGCCCCACAAAGACCTCATAGAAGTGTTTCTGATCACAGGATCATAGAACAGTTWGTATTGGAAGGAACCYYRTAGATCATCTGGTTCCARCTCCCCTGCTGTGGACAGGGACACCTTCCACTACRCCARGTTTCTCGAAGCCCCATCCAACCTGGCCTTGAATGCTCCCACGTATGGAGCACCCACAGCTTCCCTGTGGGCAGCCTGTTGCAGTGTCTCACCACCCTCACAGTAAAGAATTTCTTSCTAAGATCTAATCTAAACCTACTCTCTTTCAYTTCAAAGTCTTTCCCCTTGTCCTGTCACTTGTAAAAAGTCCCTCTCCTGCTTCTTGTAGTCTCCCCTTACATACTAGTAGGCTGCTGTAAGGTTTCCCCAAAGCCTTCTCCAGCCCAAACAGCCCAAACTCAGCCTGTCTTCATAGATCCCCTTCAYAGGTCATCTCCTGACAGCCCGTGCCTCACTGTGTGTGTCCATGCAAAGAGTAGGAGCTGTAGTAACTTGAAAATTCCAGTCTGGTGTTTTCTAGTCACTGGAGTCTGAGCAGCAGCCTCACTTTTCCTCATTGGCTTCAGAACCATCTCCACCTCCCCTGACCTTCCTGGTGAGCGGGGCATTCTGATTCAGGAGCRCTGGCCTTTGATTTTACTGATCTGTCTCCAAACTGATTGCTTTTCTACCTTTCTATTAAGGTGGAGCAAGAGATGTGCAGGCAATGAAACCAAAACTGACCCTTAGGTTTTAAGAGTACTGATGAGGTGGGTCATCAGAGCTATTTACAAAATGTAATCCAACATTCACTGCTGCTTCTAAAGAAAGTGTTGCTACCTGYCTACAGGTAAAAAGTGAATTTTGAGGTAAAAGTTAGTAGCAACAAMGGATAGTGATTTAAATGGCTATGTTGTGGGCCCGAATCAGCAGCCAGACTACCAGATGTTACAATATCCAGTTATACCACCAATATAATATTCTGTATAAATATATAGGTATATGAAAAAATAGAATCAAAATGTCTCCATAATTCCCCACCTTGTAAATTAACTGCATATTCAAAGACTACTTCTAAAATGTCTCTGTGTTAACCATGGAAATTGTGGGTTCATTTAGTACAAGTTAAACAGGGGAAAAATGAGGAAAAAAAAAGARGAAAAAAAAGAAGAAAAAACCAGCAACAATCTTTGCTAACCTCTGCTATTCATGAATTTTTTAAATCTTGCTGTCTGGGTGTGCYGAAATGTAGCTGTCTTGCAAAAATATGCTCTTTCAGATGTGTTTCTTGGGAAAGTTACAAAGAGAGCCCACCTCTATTTCCCCCATTGCTCTATTTGTTTTGAGAAAATCACCTGTGTTTTGAAGTTAAAAACAAATAAACATTACAAGCAACACTGGGGAACTGTTCTTTCTTTCATGGTCACAGATCTGAACTACAAGAGTATTTATTTTTGTGGAAAATTTTGAGATGGATGCTATTTTATTACCATAAATTAAAAGCAAATAAGTAAACAGTTTGCTTCCAGATAAAAGCTTATGCTGCAGCTGCAGAAATAGATGAAACTGTTTAGGGCAAAATCCTGTAACCGCTGGAGGAAGCCAGTCTGGGYTAGCCAAAGCTAGCATGAAGTTTTGAAAGCTTTTAAGTGTAGCACAAAATCCACCTTAGCAATCATGATGGGCTGAAACTTCTCACTGCTCAGAGTGCTTGGGTTTTSCTCCATGGAGAGAGCAGTGTTGTGTATCCCCACTGCATTCCCAGAGACAGCTGCAGCCACAGGTGTGCCGGACACCTGCCCAGAGGCACGCTGGGGCCATCGGTGACAGCCTGGCTTTTAATCTCTATTTCTRCTAATTTTCAGATACCTAGAGAAAAGTCTTGCCCTGCTGCATTTTTTGATCTGCAGGATTCAGACTGACACAGAAGGATGTGAAAAAAGCAAGGAGGAAGGCAGAGCACAAGGCCATTTCCAAGAGGGTCCCCAAACTCAGCTGAAATCTCTAGCAGCACCAATCTGGCAGAAGGCYGTAGGCCAACCAATCCTACCATTTTTGAAGGATGATGTCAGCATTTTCTGTCTTGTTCCAGCAGGATCAGCGACAGAGTTCTTACCCTAGATGCAAGGAACCCACCCAGAAACTCCCTGCTAGCTGCTCATTATTCTTTTCCGTAATCACAGCTTTTTGACATTGCTAAAGCACCCTGGCAAAAATGAAGTGCCTGAGCATAATGAAGTCACCTTGAAGAATGCTTGAAGCCCTCAAGCCACCCTTTAAATTATGCCTTTAGCTACTCTACATATTCATTTCCAGCCATTTCCCAATTGTTTTGATTAGCTATTGATTAGCACACTCGGCAGGTGAGTTCTTAATGGCCACATCATTCATGTGTATCAAAATCTCATCAGATCTTACTTGATGACTTCTTATTATCAATATTATTCATAATTATCAACATATCAGTATTATACCAAAATCACTGCAGTTATTAACCATTAAATGCAGTTATTAATRCTCACATGTACAACTTGGCCTTGCAAGTGTATTACCAACATCTCTGTCACTGACACAACCCTTTCACTGGAACTACAGGGTTCAAACAATTAAGTTAATTCAAGACTACTTCTATTCAATTTCCACATTTAAAATAGCCTCTTCTGGATAGGGGAGAGGGGACAAATTATCATAATCCTTTGTTTATTTATGCCAAGAAAACCTTTTGGGTCCACATTTCCCCTGCTAGCATTTTTGCCAAGCTGAAAATCCTTCCGGATGTTGGCACATTGAAATACATAACAGCATTTCTTAATAGCTTTGACATTTCTAATGCAAACATGAATAGCTTGAGTGTGTAGTTGGAGGGAGTGGGATAAGTGGGATAGCCTGCTCCAGTCCAGTCCCTGTTCTCWGGGCTGTTATGCATTTTTATCTAATGACTCACATACAAGAGTTTCTTGTAGCAGAGACCAGAAAACAAGAAACCCTCCATCCCCAGTTAAGACAGTGATTTTATTACTGTGTGAACTACTCAGGCTTGCACCCCCTTACAGGCTCTATCTCTTCACCCTGTCAGTTCTTCATTCTTGGCTGCACAGACTGACATAGAAAGAGGGATCTAGAAGAGTGCCCATCCAAGCATGGCCCATGGTTTAGCACTTTCCTCAGGAGAGACAGATGGAGACAAAATGCCTTCCTGAGGATAGGGTTCAACAAGAGCGTTGCTCTCCTGCTACCCTGGTGAATAGTTTCACCTTGGGCAATAATGGAAAGAGTTGGTAACACTGCCTTGGCTCTGTTCTCAAGCCAGCCTGTCAAAGCAGGYTCTCTTGCAATGCTGTGAATGTCCCTGTGCCTGCCTCTCAAATTGCTGAAAGCCTGGAGTCCCAACCTTCTCAGTAAATAACAAAGGCAAAGGGTTTTTGCAAGCACTTCAGGAACTCTGCAGACCAAAGTGAAGGTACCTGCAGRGTAAAATGTGTCTGTGTTTAGTTTTGGTCTGAAGTGACTAATTCCTGTCTGCAGCAGACTCCACAGTAGCTGGCCCAGAATCCCTTCCTGCATTGATGATGTAGGAATGTGAAAAGCTACAATCTTGTGCAATTGGGAAAAAATACCTCTAAGGTCCTCATGGATCAGCATATATTCCTGCTTCCTGGGAGATGGCAATTGGGTGATTCTAGATGAAGAAGGCTAAAACTGAAAATGTGATCTTTGGAGTACTACTGTATACAAGTACTACTGGATACAAGTACACACAGATCCTGCAAGCAGCTTTGTGCCTAGAAGACTCTTAAAAAGCTTCATGTAGCCACACTCAGATGAAAAGAGGTAAGTGAATTGCATTGACTGCAGGAGGGAGGAGAAGCCCATCATCTGGACCTGTGCTTTCCTCTGTAGCTTTGTATACCCATGCGTGTATTTAACAAATACTTGTTAAAGTACTTTCTTTTCTGGGTGGGATTATTTTTGTAGCATCTTGAAAGAGAAGCAAGACTGAAAACATCTTGATGTGCAGGAGAAGCACAAGAATAAATATATGATTCAAAGGAAGCCCAAATAGTACTACAGTAGGAACAYAGAACAATAGAAAAATACTAAATGGAATGTGATAAGCCCATTGCTAGTAGTAAAAACAGGGCCATGCTGAATAATAAAAATAAAAAGAACTACCAGCTGTCTGTGCCAATAATCATCTTCTCTGATGCTCAGTGAATGAGGCAAAAGCCCTCTGGGGATAACAAAACATACAGCATTTAATTATGTAATAGGATGTAACCTAGTAAAAGGAGAGTGGAAGGACTTAGAAAAAACACTGCAATAAATGCCCTCCCTCACTGATATCTGACAGCCTTCAGTAGCCTTTGACACTGTGAACCAGCCAGCCTGGTTTCTGGAAAGAACCATTGCTAGAGCAAAGCTCGGATGGTCCTGGAGGGTGCACAAATTGCCAGAGGCACATCTGCTGTGTCCAGCACAAGGTCACTGCAGGCTGCCCAAGCACAAGGCACCTCTGTGTGTCACATCTGCCACAGTGTCTTGGATTGATTTTATGATAACACTCTATTCCTATAGTCCKTCTGCTTGTATGCCCAGAAGTTGTCTGTGCCTTTAAATCTGACCCAGAAGAAGGGGCAGAGGCGGTGCATGCAGTTTAAAAGCCGGGGCTGCCGCACAGCCRTGGGCTTTTGGGAGCTCAGCTCAGCGCCACAGGAGGTTCTGCTCAGTGTGTGCAGCGGAGTTAYGTTGTTGCCATTTAGCTAGCTCAGGTTTGTTAGCTTGGGCAAACMGTTTTCCCTGAACTGCCATCCCCTCTCTGTGGCTCCCGTGATTTTTTTTCTTCTGGAGCAATTCGGCAGCCAGTGGGGGCAAGTGGCACCATTCTGTCTCATCCCAGATTCCAGAAGAAGCCAAGCCAGCGACAGAAAAGCACACCGAGCCCTCTGTTTTATCCACCATGGGGAGAGGACTGCCATCAGGTTTTTCCACTGTTGCYGGA